AAACTTCCAAAAACAAACTTAGTTGTGCGGTCCAGTTTTTAACCACAATTATGGCCCAAAATAAGCAATTACGAATTGTAATATAATAATAAAAAATAGTAAATGTTTATTTCGTATGAAAAACGCAATAAAAGTATTTTTATGTCATATATAACACACGGAACCTTCGCCCTGTGAGTGACCTCCCACCTGACCACTTTTTTCCACAGCTTCAATGGATTCCTCATTAAAAGCGTGATCGATTTTTTTCTAACAACTTACATTTTGCTCCGCAAATAAGAAACAGATGACTATGCGTGTAGCCACTGATGAGCTACAAATGTTACGTAGACACATTAGATTAAAAGTATTTGAATTTAGAATGTGGTATCATGTATCTACAATTAGATTTTGCTCTGCAAAGAAAAATGGTAACTCCAATCGCCACAAAACTAATAAGAGACCAAAATGTATAGAAAAATTAAGAACCTCTTAGTTTTGAAAGTAACTTACTAAAAATAATTTAAGATTTCAAAATCAATTATTTTGATTTAAAAACTAAAGTACTAAACTGCGTCAGATAAAATTTTTACGGAATCTATCTGTAAGTATATCTTTTCAGATAAAAAAAAATATCAAGTTAGTTTATAACTGACGGAGTTATGAGGTAACAAATGTAAAAAAATATACAACCTAATCGAGAGAGGAAAAGGGATTGTTAACAATGGAGTTTGATAGCCCCATTGCTAACAATATGCCCTATTAGGTCGACCTCCACGTGGTTCCCCCTGGAAACCATCGTGAACAATTCTTGTTGAATTCGTCACGATGAACTAACTGACCTACTTTATCCTCATCTATCATTCTTCACTGGTGCCAGCCGGTGTATACCGATAGCGCGGGTGGGGTTATCATTCCATTATCACCTATTAAAAAAATACTTAATCGAGAACCTCTTTTGAAGTCGGTTGAGAAGACATATGACCAGTCAAATCTTTTGGAATTTCTTAAGCAGATGAAAGTATGGCTGTGCAGCGTGACATCTATTAATTGCGTTCAACCATAGCGTCCAGTCGATCGTATTATTTTATATTTTTTCCTATTGTTTATGTTTTTTCAATAGTCTAAACTGTAATGCCTAGATTTTTGAAACTATAGGCTGATGTTTTATTGTATGTACTGATTTTTTTTTTATAAATGAATTTTTAAGTTGTTTTTCCATTTACATTTGAAGTTAAAGACCAATGAGGGGCCACAGACAAGGATGAAGTTAGTATTTTTTTTTTGTATTTGATGTGTATGTTTTAATGCTTTAATTTTCAAAAAATAGTCTTCCTTTTTGTGTATTCATCAATCCTTCATCTATGCAAATTTAATTGGCTGATAAATTATTATTTAATTGTGTAATTGTTTTGTGTTTTTTTGATGTTTGCCTTAAAATAAATAAAAAAGATTTACCACAGATGACGGTAAGAGAAAATTAACGTCTTAGTATATGTCAATGTGTTAATATATAAAATACGTGTGTCAAAACGTTTGTTCATGCAAATTTTTTAAACCGCTCAATTGATATTAATAAAATTTTCTAAACGTATAGATAGATAGATAGATAATTTATTTGCATTACTTACTTACAGCACACAAATTACAACATAGATATACAAAAAGCGAGATAACATAAATGATAAAAAAAAAATACATAAAGCTAAATACAATTTTTCGTTCGTGCGTATGCCATAGCAATACAAGATGGTCACAATTCAGTTTATTGCTTCGCCCTCAAAAGATATTATTATTTGATCTAATTTGATAGATAGATATTTTTTTTATACAACTTAGAATGGCAAACAACCTGGTTGGCAAACAACGGCCCACCTGGAAAGTGGTAACCGTCGCCTATAGACATGAGCAGTATATATATATATATATATATATATATATATATATATATATATATAACCTCTGGTTTAGCAATAGGTTTCGTTTAATCAAAAATTTGGAAATTAATGTAACACTGAAACAGCCTGTATGTAACTATCAAGTAAAAAAATTAGGTGGAATAATTCGCTTTCTGTCTAGGTCATTTTATCTAAAAAATATCCAATACACTCATTTCCGGTATTTTTTTAAGATTTATTGTTTCATTAGGTCTAACAATATTCTTTTTTTTTTTTGTAAAACTCGTTTGCCCCCTGGCAATTACCCCCTTAATGGGAAAGCTTAACTTCAACAGTGGATAGTTAACGGCTGATATAAATTAAATCATCATTCATCATTTCAGTCATTATCCGTCCACTACTGGACTAGTAGTTATTGTTTCTATAACGAACATACAGACAGACAGACAGAGAGACAAAAATTTTACTGATTGCATTTTTGGCATCAGTATCGCCTGATAGTTATTTTGGAAGTATATTTCATGTACAGAATTGACCTTTTTTTTATACAACTTAGAATGTCAAACAAGCTGACAGCCCACCTGATGGAAAGTGGTAACCGTCGCCTATAGACATGAGCAAAACCATAGACATAACAGTGTATACTGTCTCACCCATGATACCCCCCATGCGTTGCCATTCCTGAGGACCTCTCTACAGATTTATTATAAGTACAGATTGTAGTTGTAATGTATAATCAATAAAATAAATATATTCACGGCTGTAATTCTAGAAGAAGTATTTCTTTGATTATTGCTTTTGTGGTAAACGTAACACTTTATTTGTTCAGATCTCGCCTAGTGATTACACAACACTGTAACTTAGAATAATTTACGTCTTATTTCATACTTAGTGCTCGCAGGTCTTAGGGCTTACTACGTCTTATTCCAGACTAGCTGTCCCCTGCGGCTTCGCTTGTGGTCGTATATGATATACTACGAATAGTTTGTAAACTGCCTCAATAAATGAACTATCAAATTCGGAAGGATTTTTCAATCTGAATTTTTTTTATACAACTTCAAATGGTAAACAAGCTAACGGTCCACCTGATGGAAAGTGGTAACCGTCGCCTATAGACATGAGCAGTACCATGGACAGTATGAATGGTAAGTAGTTTCAGAGATGTGCGGCTTCAAACAAACAGAAACCTCCACTTTATTATATCTTATTCTAAATTAACATATATGTAGTACACTATTTCCCTTAATTTACCAGAGAAAAGTCAGTCAGGAGGCTAGTTTATGAAATTGTTTAATTTTCTTAGAATTTTGACAATTAATATAGATTTTGTTAATTTATTAACCTACTTAAATAAAAATAATAAATCGCACACTTAAAATAAAATCATATATGTGCGTCCCAATTGTTTGATAATAGCACATTAAATACTATTGCATTTAATACGATGAATAAATTCATGTTTCATTATTTATTTTTTATTATAATTAATTTTACTCATCTTAACTAATTAATTAATTTTATTTAACATTAAACAACAATTTAATTAATAATAAAATGAGAAATTCTTCTCATTTTATTATTATTAATTATTTCGAATAAAGAATTTAATATGTACTCGTATTTTAATGTAATGATTAAGTATTATTGAACTATTTTTCTTTATTTAGGTGATACGTGCGTGCATTGTGCGTTGGCCCTTTATAACTCTGGTTGTAATTGCTTAGAGCTGTTAATACCGTCGGATTTCTTTGCATAAAGTCCTTATTATATGTAAACTGGTATATCATAGGTATGAGTATTTATAAAATATTTTATTTATATAATTAAATTGTTATTAGACGATTGTCTTCCATGTACAGGCATGTATATATTTAAGAAACTATATGAGGGGTCTTAATAAGATCAATAGATGCTAAGACAATATTTTTAGAAATTTTATCTGTCTGTATGTTTGTTCCGGCGATACGCAAAAACGACTCGACCAAATTGAATGCAATTTTCACAGTTGTATTCCTGAAGGAGTAACTTAAAATCTAGTGTATATTTATTCTTGAGACAACATCTAAAAGTGACCTATTTTATTAGTTTTCATATTTCTCATGTCCACGTTTACAAAGTAGCGAGCAGAAATCTAGTAGGTACATGAGATAGTATTTCGAAGATATTGGCGTTATCTAGTATAGTATAATACTATACTAGTATATAATATAATCAGCGGTATTATTAGTAATTATTAATATTATAATAATTTCTTGTTATGTTTAAGTTTTAAAAATTTGAATGTTTTTGACAAATTATTCAATATCCCACTGTTGGATAGAGTCTCTTCTCATAAAATAATTGTAGCTTATTTTGCTACGCTAATTATTTAGCTAACTTAGAGCTAATGCCAAGCCATTTACATTTGTATAGAGTTTTATTTGTCTTAACGATTTTTTATGTGAGTTTAAAAAAAATAACTATTGTAAAGAACCATAACAATTAAATATTATATCCTATTAATTCCAGTAAACTAAGTGTAACGAATTATTATAATTTGTAGATATTGTATGAGATGCAAAATAGTTATCTCAAAAAATGCAATTTTCAAATGATTGCACTTATCCGAAAATATAATCAATATATAATTATAAGTAATTAAAGTATTAACAACAGTTTTATACACGTATACGTTAATTTTTTAATTGATAAAAATAATTTGTGTGTTATTGCAATACCGATATATGTATGTGGTAAGTAGCAATCTTATAAAAGGAGGGAAATTAAATGTATATCACTCAAACGGCATTGAACTATAGAAAAGTACAAAAAATGTGCATGTATATATTGTCGCTAGAGTAGGTAATACGAGTATATTGGTTGAATTTCGACCACAATCGATAGTAACTATCATAATTATACAATTTTTACTATAAAGTTAGCGGTTTGCCTCGTTCAATATTGAAAATCTATGATATTTTGTTTTTAATTAATTATTGGCCGCTGCTTTTTTAAAAGAGTAATTTAATTTTAAAACTTATCCATTATGTAAAGAACGTGACAATCTTCATTTCAACTTTCAGCATTTTTATTGTCTTGTGACAGCTCTATACAAATCTCGGGTGCACGCTTTCAGTGGATGGAGCGCATTCACTATAAATAGAAGTGGCTACTGTCTGACGGTACATTGCCTCACAGAGCACTGAGAAGGGGCGTTCGCACCCCCAATACCTAAACCAAAAATACTCAAGCTTTTGTGAAAATTTTGGAAGGTTAGCATTTGGTGATCATATTTTTAAAGTGCAACATTTTAGCCACCGTTAAAATATTATAATTAATTTTTGAGAAAATTTATTGTTAATTTTTTTTTTCTAATATAGTAATAAGATTTTATTTAGATATTGAAGTGTTAACGGAAAATTATAAAATGTGCTTTCAGTTCGACTGAAGACAAAATGAAGAGCTTCAGGATCGTGTTATTATGTATTGGTAAGTGTTTTTGAAACAAGATTTAAGAAAAAAAATATGTACTATTTCTAAAATTCTTATTGATATTTTTAAATGAAACTTTAAGGTATTAAAGACAGCAAAATATTTTTATCCATTACTTTATTAATATTCCATTAAAATTAACATAGGTTTAATAATGAAAAATTAAGATTAAATTAATAAATTTCAGAATTTAATTAAAAACAATTTGTATGGGCAACTTACATTCAACATGTATATTAGTACAATAGGCCCAACATTATTTATGTCAATTATATATCTTTAAAAAATAATTCAATTTTATATTTTTATTAAAGAAATTATTATGATATAGGTATGTAGCTATAAATTTGTGTTTTAAATATGTACCTACTCCATAGTATTAGTAAATTTGGTAGTTTCGTTTATCTAATTTTGGATTAATTAAGAATTTGTAACACAACTAGTGATCCGGTCTGACTTTACATGGATAAATAGTATTTTCGAAAATAATATATTACTTATGTTACTTGCTGATAATATAGCTTTCAATAGGTGAAATTTTTTTAAAAATCAGATGAGTAGGTTTTGAGTTACATTACAAACAAATGAACTAACAATTAAATCTTTTCTTTTTATAATATTATTATAGAAATAAAAAGTCTAAAAGAATTTAACTATAAGTAGTATAAATGAACTTAAACACTTCATTTATCTGATAAATAGTCGGGAAATATTTAATTATAAATTTATTACACAAAATAAACAGTCTGGAAAATTTATGTTTGAGTAAAACTCAGATGTTCGTTGTCAGTAAGCTCGAAAATTTAATTTATCTAATAAGTATTCTGAAAATATTGATTCATTATAAATTTATTAAATGGAGTGACGGCCTCAAATGAATTGCAGGAAATGAGTAGATGCGGGTGGTTCAAAACCGTTCCTTATGCCAGTCTATGGGGGAGGCTTATGTCCAGTAGTGGATTGATAATGGCTGAAATGATGATGAGAAATTTATTACACAGAATAAATTGTCCGGAAAAACGTTACCTATTTATTTAAATACCACTCATTATCAGTAAACTCGGAAGTTTGATTTATCGTTATGTACGTGCATGTAACAAACTATACATTTCCTCAAAATTTAATAAGAGATTAAATAACAGTTCGTAAGTATATATGCACTATGCACGCATCACGTTGTATGCAATTAGTACGTAAACAAATTAGTTCAACAACTCACGCAGGCGCGAATGAATTCAATTACATCGGTCTAATATATTTGATATGTTGGAAAAATACTATGTTTTCAAAATACAATATCTAAAAATACATAAAAATATATACAACGCATGGGGATGTCATGGGCAAAACAATATATTCTGTTATGTCCATAGTACTGCTCATGTCTATAGGTGACGGTTATCACTTTCCATCAGGTGGGCCGTTAGCTTGTTTGATATTCGAAGTTTCATAAAAAAAAAAATATTATATTTTTGAATCGTAGTTTCTTAATTTATTTCATATATTCAAAATTATTTATTTAGATGACTGGAGATGGACATAGTAAATTAAATTACATTGTTATGACACAATTACTTGAATTATAGTATTATTTTAAATTATTACGTAAATATAGATTGTTTAGGTACTGCAAATACCTAATCAATAACATAATTGAGATATTAAAAAAATAAATAAAAAATACAAATTAAATGTTTAATTGACCAATATAATAAAACCCTTAAAAATGTGGCTCGAAACTTAAGTCTTTTATGCAAATGCCTCAGTATTTAATTAAAAATAAAACTTAATATTTTTTCAATTATGATATATTTTTTAATTACTTACTCCTGTGCTGGTCTCAGTTTAATGTTGTCAAGATTGAAGTTCTTTTTTTATGGAAATAATATTTTAATGATGTTTCAACTATCAAAATATCTTACCAATTTCTTCTATTCCAGGCTCACTCTCCGTAGCGACATCTGCACCGGCCGCATCCCGAGACAGTTCATCCCAACCGTCAGAATATGAATACGACTACGAAAACTCAGCACAATCAGGCCAGGCGCAAGAACCACAGGAATCTGCTAGCCATTATGACGCTTATATTCAAGACGTTAAGGCTGCCGCTAGCGGAGACGGTGGCGCTAAGAAAGGATACAGTAGAGGTAGCGGTTTGAGAACCATAGCGGTTGGAAGCGCGAATCAAGCAAAGACAGCGCTTGGTAACCAAGCAGCGGCTGCGTACCAGGCCGCTTATATGGCTAAGAATACTTTAGCTCAGTCAGCGGCTCAAGCTAGTGCCACAGCGCAGGCAGCGCTTGCTGGTAAACAGGTGATCTTGTCCGGATTAGAACAGCAAGTGAGGGATGCTAAGGTCGCACTTCAGGGTGAGGAAATGCAGCTCCAACAGGCCAAGAGATCTGCTCAATCTGCCGCGCAAGCTGCCCAGCAGGCTATGCATCAGGTATGAATTGAGACTTAAACTTCTTGTGTTATTGTTAATATATATGATTATTTCTTCGTATACAAAATATGATAATATTAGCAGCATTTTGATTTAGTAATTAATTTTTAAATTTATAATAAAAATAATAAAATATCACGTCGAACGCGAAGGTATAAATCCATGCCTTTCCGCACAGGCCGTGTTAGAATAGGCAGTTTTTAAAGCACTAGAAGTAATATAGTTTATGAACAACTTGGCATAAAAGCACAGAAGGCTTTCGATGTTTGGATAACTCGTTTGGTGGTAGATATTTATATTATATGTATATATTTATATTTAGATAATTTAGTGATTTATTATTATATATTATTAAGAGATGAGAGATTAGACATTAATTCCCTTATTTATAAAAACTGAAACGTTCTACAAGCCTATTTTAACATCTAAGAAAATTCTTCTAACAAAATCAAATAACCCGTGATAAGTACTGTTGCAAGATAACATCTAGTTCAGTAAAATAAAATAGGTTTATAAGAGATTTGATGTTATTATAAATAAGGTTTTATTACCTTATTTATAATAACAATACAAAAGTACATAGCTATACAAAAGTATAGCTATACTAAATTATGAGTATTTCTGAGGTGTAAAAACGCTATTTTTTAATAATGTTTTTTAAGCAGCATATTAAATTAAAAAAATCCGTATCTATAACATCACAACCCCTCCCCCCTCCCTTATTCATAAAGACTAAAATGTTCTAAAAACCCATTTAAACTATTACCTTGTTTGGTAACTTTCTTTCAAATTAGGAATTTAGCACCAAAGAAAGACATAAATCAGTTATATAGCTAAAATGGGTGTGCCGTTTATTACGAATAAGAGAGTAAGTCTTCAGGAATGGCAGCCCATGATACAATAGTATGTTCTGTGTTAACTATGATACTATTCATATCTATAGGAGACGGTTACCATATTTCATCAGGTGGACTGTCAATTTGATTCTATGTCGTATAAAAAATAAACCGTGATTACTTTTTAGAGTCAAACGAGTTGGGATTCCTCAATTGAGGATATAATTAACAGTTCTAAAGTTTTAATATTAATCAGTTAATATATTAATGATAAAAAATATAGTATGTCCCGGGGAGGTATTGTGTATTTTGTAATAATCTCGTTTCTATAGATAAATTCAGTATTTCTCAAGTAATTGTCGCAAGATTACGCCCCGAGCCGAGTATTTGCGAAGCCGTCCATTACTAAATGCCATAGCGTGATGATTGCAAATCGATTACGGGATATTGCAATTGTGTACCGTTACATATAAAAATTTGTTTATCTGTCAATCAATTTATATTTCACTGTTTAATTTTTGTCATTCCATGAAATTGGATTTTCCTCAAGCGATCGTTTAAATTTCAAGGGGCATGAGCAACTTTATATAGTTCAGTGGCATTGTTTTGTTTTGTTTGTAACAGATTTTATTGTTAATTTGTCCCTTATTGTTGTATTATTTTAAACAAAGATTTATGGTTAAGATTTTCATACAAACATCTTCAAAAAGAATGAGGTTCTCAAGTATGTATTTCTTTTTTGTGTATGTCACCTCATAACTCTGTCAAATGTAAACCGATTTGGAAAATTATTTTTTTATCTAAAAGGATATAACTACAGATTGGTTTTATGGAAATGTTATCCAAATCAATTTAGTAGTTTGGTTTTTGAAACAAAATAGCTAGTTTCTGTTTCTCTTGAATTATATTGAATTATTTAACGTCACAAAGAATGAGGTCCTCAATTTGGTTGTATTTTTCTTTTGTTTGTTACCTCATAACTCTGTCTAATGTAAATTGGAATTTGGAAAATTTATTTTTTACCTAAAAGGCTATAACTACAGATTGGTTTTATAGAAATTTTATCCAAATCGGTTTTTTGAATTTTTTTGAGCGTTTTTGAATGAACCGTTTTTGAAACAAAATAGTTGGTTTTATCAGAATTGCAGTTAGTTTTTTGTGAGATACAAGTACAATCTTTAATAATTCAATTTTAAAACGAAGCAAATTCACAATTGAGTTGTATTTTTTGTTGCCTCGTAACTTCGTCAGTTGTGAACCGATTTGGAAAATTCCTTTTTTTTTACCTGAAACTTTTACAATTGTCAATTTTTCCGAAATCGATTCATATCTTACTGTTTGGTATTCTTATGCAGGTTTTTATCTGTCTTTATTTGTATTAATGTCATATCTTAGATTTTTTTTTAATTTTATTATAATTATTTATGTTTGTTTTACTCATCTTTTAAAATCGAGGATGGCAGACTACTTTCGAACTCAATAGGGGCCATTATTCATGAGCGTAATTCATGGCTAACGCCAATAAAGCCGACATAAATAATTATAATACTCACAATAGTTATTTTTTAAGTTTTTTCCATGACCATAATAACCTATTATCGTCTCTCTGCTGGACACAAATCTCTCTCCCATAAAAAAGGATTTTTATCTCGACAGCCAAGTTTCTTGATATTTCTTTTCACTGATCGTATGATGTCGTCATGTTTTTTGGAATTAAGAGCTAAATATCCGTATTTAATCATAACATATTTATTCTTTTTTTTTATAATAGTAAAAAGAATCATTGTTTACAGATTAGAATAGTATTTTTTCACAATTTTGGGTAAAAAATTTTGTGTTGGATAAATTATTGGAGAAAATTTAAACGGTTGTGGTGAATTTTCGGCACTCCCTTCCAGTTTTTGTACTTGTGAATTGCATATAGAATCATAGGGTAAATTAATGAAGGTAGTAACACGAAGTCAACATAGAGATGGGATGATATTTTATTGTCACTCAAAGGAAATGGGAATGAAATGATGTAGTGATACATTATTTCATTCCCATTTCCTTTGAGTGACAATCACCTTACTTCGCTATAGGCACACGTTGAACAAAATATGTATAATTTAGTCATTAGTGAAATGAATAATGAATTTTATGGGCGAAACAGTATACTCTGTTATGTCCATGGTACTGCTCATGTCTATAGGCGACGGTTACCACTTTCCATCAGGTGGACCGTCAGCTTGTTTGCCATTGTAAGTTGTATAAAAAAAAAGGTCAAGAGATAAGAATATTCTATAATATCCGGGAGACAGAAAGTTCATTGTAACTTGCTTATTTCTACTTAAGTATATTTCCTCGCTGAATATTTGATTGATGGTGGTCAGATAGTGTTTATGATAGAATTCGAAGGTCATCTCTTAATTTATTCGTTGAAAAATAGTTTTGAAAATATCTCCAAAAACTAATTTGTTATAGATGAATTTAGACTTTTTGTTATAGGTAGTAAATTATATTTAATGTTTCATAATACTGAACGGCGATTCAATTACCTACTTACCCACTATTTTTTCTTTCTTTCGTAGTCCAGTTAAATTAACGTTTCGATAGATTTTTTTTTTTTTATGATTTCAATTCGAAACGTAATATAGATCTTTTTAGCTTTCTCATTACGTTCTAATATAAAATGTACCAACTGTTAATGTTACGTTAATATATTTATTAAATTACGTTATTAGCGTCACAGTATTTTGTTTGAGAACATCATAGCATCATAAGGTTTCTTTGGGGTCGGTAACACGCATGTGACACCCCTAGTGTTGCAGGCGTCTATAGGCTACAGTGACCGTTGATCATCAGACGGGCCGTATGCTTGTTTGCCTACTTCTTGGTATATAAAAAATAACAGTAATAATTTCTATCTTTATTAATATTATTTCCGTAAAAGTGAGTATTTATTTGTTATTTTTTCGCATCGGTTTATTCAACCAATTGTCAGGTAATTTGATATAAATGTTGTATTTGGAATGAAAAAGAATATAGGGTATCTTTTATTTCGTTTGTTTAAACAAATAAACTCATTTTGTCCTTTAAATTATTAGTATTTATTACTCTTACAAGAAAACACCGCAAAAACTGTAAGCTGTAACTAGTCACTAATAGTTCCTGTTGAGATCTTGATTTCTCTAACGGCCTACGAACGATCCACGATAAATTATACAAAACGAAACCAAAAAAGGAACTGCGCAGACAACATCGGGCGTTTGATTCGTTTTGTGAACAAGAACTCCATTCAGAACTACTGGAGCGACTAAATAAGAGACTTACGTAAATTAATTATTGGCAATTTGCCGACGCCTTGTCGACTTTTATCTCTAGTTCGATTTGCAAATTTTTCGTAAATCCAATTCGTACTTTTCGTACTTGATTTACGTAACTGGCGATACAGCGTTTTTATCGTCGGCTATCTCGGTACAGAACTGATTTTTTAATAAGTTTTTTTTTCTTCGTATATTGCAATATTTGAGTTGTCAGTAATATTGCACAGATCTGGTTCATTGTCGGAATATAGCCTTGTTTTTTTTTTTTATTGTCTCTTATTAAACGCATGGTTTTATAAAATAGATTTAGCAATATCTAATTACTTATTTACCTGCGATTGTAATAACAATAATAATAAATAAAAAATATACTCACGATTGATGTACTAGACAGGGTAGATACAACATTTGTTGTGTATCTATATTTTGCAAAGAGTATTTAAAACTTAGATTATCAATAATAAATCTATTATTTCTTATTCTATAGTTAAAACAATTATGGAATAAAAAAATAAGATATTTTATCGAATTAAGCTGTTTGAAATTGTTATTTAGTCTAAGATTCTGTTACAAAAAAAAAATAAGATTTCAATTGTAGCAAAACCGGTTATTTTGATTAAAAAACTAAACTACTGAGTAGATTTTTATTAATTTTTAATAAAAATCTAAATCTAAATAAAAATTATATGGATCTAATTTGTAAGTATATACTTTGGGATAATAAAAAAAAAATATCAAATCACTACACAAATAGAATTGAAGAAACTTTACTATCTAATAATAGTTGTTGAAAAATTCATAATTTTGACTAAAATATATTTTAATATTATCATACCTACTTGTACAACAATTAGTACATTATCCTAAAAAAGTCTTGAAAAGATTGTTCTCAGCAATAAGACCGTCTTACTGTACTTATACAATTGTATCGTTATATTAATTGCCTTGCTTATTTCCTATACTGTATAATGCGAATAAAGTATACTCATTCATTCATTCGATTTGAACCTGTATAAATAGATAATTAACATTACGAGAATAAGTATTTTATTATAACTACGTAATAAACACGCAGACTTCTACATATAATTATTCATTATACAAACACAATTAAAGGAGTATTTCTAAACGAAAATGTAACGGGCAATAATTCCGGTGGAAAGCGATATATACCTAATCAATACACGCAATTGGATACGTTTCTGAACGCATAATATGAGATGCAAATTTCCTTCCTATACAGCGGTCAGAAAAGAAAGTGTTGTAAGGTAAAGTTGATACTTTGTTATTGTATTGAATTTCAAACTTTAACACTTATGACATAGAGGTTTTTTGTAGATTACAGTATGGGGTTCTTCAAAAAGGGTATATTAAAATTTCTTCACGGTTGGCAATGATCACTAATCACCCCCTCATAGTTATTTTGGAAATATATTTCATGTACAGAATTGCCTTCTCTACAGATTTATTATAAGTATAGATTAATGTTTATGTAATCATGTGTAGTTAATGTTGTGTACCCCTGCTATAGGTATACATATCATCATCATCATCATAACAGCCTTTAACTGTCCACTGTCCTTTAACTGGACACAAGCCTCCCTCTGGGGCTTTGTCAGTAGTTGTCATGTTGGCAGGCGGATTGGCGACCGCAGTCCGGCTTTAGAGATATTTTAAAAGGGACGCTATTGCTCATCCTTCGCTCTTCCTTAGTCGCCTCTCACGACACTTACGGAAAAGGAAGGGGTGGCCTATTCTATGCTGGAACCATACGGGAAACATATCAGTATGCTACACAAGAAATGTATCTTAATTTATATGTAATACTAGTGACCCGCCCCGGCTACGCACGAGTGCAATGCTAGAAACACAATTATCTCTAAGAGATAGACATTTACCATCGCGGACTTTTTTATAGATCTTCTTAAGGTGTACAATACTGTAGTACATTACTTTGATCTCTCTCGTAGGGTTCAGTCAGCGTTTGCAATGTAAGCGCAAAAAATGTGTTTATTTACGATATCACATTAGAAAACTCTAAAATTATCAGTGTTTCTTTACTACATTACGCATGTATTATACATATAAACCCTCCTCTTGAATCACTCTATCTATTAAAAAAAACCGCATCAAAACCCGTTGCGTAGTTTTCAAGATCTAAGCATACATAGGGATAGAGAGACGACGGAAGTGATTTTGTTTTATACTATGTAGATTAAATAAATAAAATAAACCTTCCTTCCGCTATAAAACAAGATCCTGTGCCAAATTTTGTGTGATAAAATCCTTCATCATAAAATTGCAGGTGAACGTAATCCAAGCAGCACTGAACGCCGCTCAAGCTACCTCCGAGAATGCCAACGAGGCCGCGTCGCAGGCCGCCGGTGAGTTGGGTGCACAGACCGCCATGGTGGGTGCGGCCAGGCAGAGGCTGCAGACTCTTCAGGAACAACTGCACGGTGTCAGGATCGACTTCGAGGCCACCCAGGCCGCTGCCAGGAAGGCACAGGTATGTTGCTCTTATGATTTCCGCTGATGTTCACGGTGGTGCAGTTTGACAGCTGGTAAATTTCGATTTTAGAATAGGACTGGCTGGTAATTTTCAATTTCAGATTTAGACTAGAATTAGGATAAAAAAAAATGTGTAAGTGATATTTTTTTTTATTAAACAGAACAATATCAAGGGAAGTAAAATTTAAGAAAGTAATACTTTTTTTTTAATTTTTATTTATTTATTTATTTAAATTACTGACAAATATGGTACATAAGGTGGATTTGGTGTTATATCCATTATGTTCAATGTATTTCAATAAAAAAAAAATTAATATATTTTAATCATGCTTTGTTTAAAAATTTAAACATTTCTTTTAGTTTATATATATAAACTAGGCCGATTTAAATCAAATTTAGTAGAGATTGCCTGAAGCGCAGCTGGAGTCTACTAAGTTTGATTTATATCAATTGATATAATAAATGTATATATACATATATCAGGTTTAGTTAGGTATATTATCGCCTATTTGATATATAACAAAAAAATTTTACAAACAGGAATTTACGAAGGACGCAAGAATACACATCTTCGAGGATATAAACATATTAATCAAATATTGAACTTGAAACAACTATCTTTTTCTGTAAATGAGAATAATCCATTAATGCCAAATGAAAGAAGACTAAAGTACCATTAGACTTCTGGCCACACACATTTTAAATTGTATTCTTTCATTTAAATTTTAAATTTAGAATCTATTGTTATCTTCGCTTCATTGATCATAATGTCCGAGTCTGGTAACTCTAACTTCTCACGAGTGTTTTATTTTAAAAGTAATAAACACTTAGAATGGAATTCTTCTTTATTTTATTCTCCTATTATTTTAAAACTAGCTGTTTCTTTATATCATTAGAAATAGTTGATTGTGTATGGAGATATAGATATATATTCTTATTCAGAGATAGCAGATTAGTAATATTATTATTGAGACTTAGGTAATGTGTTGCCTAAATATATAGTGGGTGATTACCGGTCGAATATGGATAGAAGGAGATAGAAGGTAATATACTATTATATAAAAAAAATTGAGCCTTCATACTATACATTGACAACTGGACGTATTTTTGTTCGTATTGGAGATTTTTATGTAATTTTTCGACAGACACTTTTTAGGAAAAAAGTACAGTTTCACTGGCTTCAGTGCTCTTCTAAAACGATGCTAATGATTTTAACTCTGTCTATTATTTGAAATATAAAACGATATAGGCCACTTTTTATTTCGATCATATGGACGAAGTCTCGGATTTTTGACAATTATTTAATACATTTCATTAAGTCACCAATAATAATTAGTTAGTACCTAAGGTTTATGTATAATGAAACAATAATTTTAATGTATTTAGTTTTTTTTTTTTATATCCTAACTGTAAAACGCTTCAAACAGGCGGCCGCACAACAGGCGCAGGCTAATGCCGCCGCTGCAGCAGCGAAGGCAGCGGCTGCCGGACTCGGCTCTGGACAGCATCACGACGCCTCCCACGAAGGTACGACTTACGAAGAGTACAAGGTTGCACCCTCTTCAGAACAGAACAGCCAAGAGTATTACCCGCGTCAGTCGGACTTCCAACACTAGTAGCATTAAGGTTTTAGGTGCCTAATTCCCCCTGGGGTTTTGTAGTCTTTTTTAGCTCATTATTTCTTCACTTATTACTTTTCCAGCATTTAAATACAGTTTACTATATTTTATTACGTATAGGTATTTAATAACTTATTTTCTCTGTATTGACCCTTTTTTCTTTAATTCCTTGTTCCTTCTTCACTCTTTAGCTATATAAAATGAACTAAGAAAGTTAATGAAACCCCGGAATATTTGATTCGGATATTATTAAAATAGATTTTTAAAGTACAAGACATTATGAGCATTAAGGATTTCTGAAAATATTTCTTAGTTTTTGTCACAATTAAAAAAAAAAGTAGAGAAAACGCGCGACTTTTTAATAGTGATGGAAACTGTCCAGAAATAATAATAATACAGCTTTCATGAATACTCAAAACGATTATTGGAAGTTAGATCAACACTATTTATTTCATAATGTAAAAACTATTTTAATAATATCATAATAATTAGTAGTTCGTCTACTGAAATGTAAATAAAAACAATTTTTGTTAAACTAGTTTAGTCGGGACCTCAACTCTAATTTTGTGAGTCTTTGTGATATTTTATGTAGATCTATTTTTTTTATACTTTTTTATACAAACGTGAAGTCTATTTATACATATGTGGTGGATGTACACTTTCGTTTTGGACTTTTATAACTTTTTTAAACAGTTGTATTTTTTTAAAACGAAAGTGCCAGTAAGTATAATAATCAATAGTAAAATACACTAACCAGAAAAAATTAAGTGCGATGTCACATAAAACAATGTTTTAGGAGAAATGCGATCGACGTGTATGAATTTGTATAAAAATAAAAAATGTTTTGTTAATAATTGTTATTTCAATATTGTATTGACTGGTTATGTATGACTTTTGACGACAGAGTTGACTATTATTTGGTAGCTGGGAAATTATGAAGGAAATATCTTAGGCGTTTATGTAAATACAAAATAAAATTTAGTAACTAATGAAATTTTATTTACATTACTAATTATATTTAATATTAGTATTAAATATTGTGCTATTTATACTGAAAAATAATAAAAAAATATATAAAATAAATTACAACATTAATTGATTTTATATATTTTTAAATCTACGGTAAATAGAGTCATTGCCCTTATTATGGCAACATTACCTCATTTTACCTATACCATTTTACCTGCTTTGGCCAAGGGACGAAAAGGTAAAATAAAAAAAAAACTATTTAATTTTTTTAAATATTTCTAATTAATTTTCCAGCTGACTTGACAGTGACTTGACATCTCACTTAATTGTACTTACTTACTTGTTTGCGACTTGACTAACCTTACCCTCGCATGCAGCCTCTGCTTTAGTTTTTACACGTAGAGAATTTTTTTTAAATTATATTAATGGATAATATGATGACCCACAGTGCATATAGTGGTTCATGCTTGGCATAAACGAGATCCCGGATTTGATTCCCGATTGGGTCAATCCTGGGATAATTGTGGCCTCAATTTGGTTACTTCGTTGTTTGGTTTCAAAAAGAAAGATACATAATAATAGCGGCTTTTTATTAATATAATAAATATCGATGTAGGTTTTTATAAGTTTAAATTTTACCACTACACATCGATGAGAATTTGAAGCTTAAAGTCGGTTGGGGGTATAATATGTGTTCATATCCTTTTTCATAAATTTAGTACTTGAATATGAGTTACGAAATTTCAATACAAACTTTTCGGTGATCAAATAATAAATCAATACACTTTTTTGCTTGTAATTTTACTCTAATCTTCTTTAGGTATGTTAGTTGAGGAATGTTCGCATTCAAACAACTATTTATGTAATACTTGAAAGGTATATCGTTTAATAATGAAAAAGCCGCCATTTTAATATCTAATTTTAAATTAATACACAAATAAGTAGGTACGAGTACAATGTGTAAAATGTAATTAATAGACAAGAATGCTTGTTTGCCATCTTGGTGAAATAAAAAAAGTTTTCGTGAAGATTTAAAAATAAATTTAAAGCAAATAAAAAGATTATCTTCAAACTATCGCACCAGCATGCAGTAGAGGTCTAAGTGTGGGTATTTCTACTTACCTATTGTCAATAATCCACTATTCAACTTTAAAAAGGCGTACAGGACTATCCTATACTCTTCCTTAGCAATTTTCCTTTTCACGAGTTCGCACAGCATGGACCACTTAATTCTTGTTACTTTCTCAAAGTTAATTCTTTCAACCTTTCCACATTTAAACGGATCTAGAAGATTCGATAAGAGATTTCCATTTTTCAGAGTGGTCCGGTCCCGTCCAGCTACTTCCAGAACAGTCCAGCGTCAATCAAATCCTACACCATCCCAATCATGAAGAAATCAAACCACAAGAAGACAATAGTCTTCCTAACAATGCACTAAAACCGCTCGTATTAGAACTCGATTCAGTTTCAAAGCCGACCCAGAATAAACCAGCTCAGTCTGATTCAATTCAGATACAACCAGTCCCATCCATATCCATACAAGAGAGACCACAAAAAGCAATAGCACCAATCAAGTTTGTTAATGCTAAATCCTTTTTCAAGTTAGTGCCCCAAACTCATTTACATTTGAACAGTTTCAATAACAAAATAAAGAGCCAGGGTCAGAGTTTGTGGCATCCTGGATTTTTTAGCTGGTGACAAGGTCCAAACAAATTAAAGTAGGTAATAAAGTAAATTAAGACAAGTTGATTACGTTTATTTTTGGGACTTTATGCCTCGCGCTTACAAGTATATAGGACATACATAATCTAACAGATTTTCTCATCGACGTTTCCACGTGGATAGCATAGACGTAGGATACAAGAAAAAAAGGTTGTTTCATCCAAGTATTCTACAATTTAGATATTAATTACTAGATAGGTATTCTATAGGATATGTAGTAACCATAGAACCACTCGTAGTACCTGATCCGTACCACGTCATGATCACGAGATGACAAAAAGAGCGAGATGGTCTTCTGGATATTATAGATAATAATGTAAAAAAACATAGTAATGTAGAGCGGTTGAAGATATTACGCGACTTGCCCAAAGATAACGACAATATTTTCAATTCGTGACCAACTACACTATACAAGTTCAGATATTATTTTAATGGAATGAAACGGTTCTAATGTGGGATGATAGGTGAGGATTTTTTTTTTATGGCTTATGCCTTCTTCAGGCATATCAGCCCTATCGTACTCTGAAATAGGTGAGGATGTTGAGGTCAGTCGGTTAATCGTGATGAACTCATTGGGAGTTTAGGATAGTTCTAGAAGAAGGATAGATACGCATAGAGATCGATCTGACCTACTGTTTTCAATGGGGTTTGTTCTCTACTAATTATAGAGTATATATTAGGTATTTATCTACACTATTTCGCGTCGCTTTAGGTCCCAAAAATAAATATACTTATGTGTAAAAATAGAAAAGTTTAAAACTAAGACTAGTTATTTATATTATGTACTAGCCGTTTACCAGGACTTCGCTTGTGTGGAGTTACTACCTCCCTTGCTTGTGTGTATTCCGAGAATTATTTATAGCGGATGACCAAGTCATAAAAGGAACATATATCCATAACCTCAGCGGTTTAGGCTGTGCATTGATTGATTACTCAGTTAGGACAAGTCTTTTTATATTTATGTATAAATATACTTAGGTACCTATATTTAGATGTGCATGTGATATTTGAGAGCCAAATAAATATAATGCTAATAAGTCTTTTATGATTGTTGATTACCCAACCTATTTTGTTGTTTAAATTATGCTACTAAGAACACTAAAAAGGTTACGAGCTTCATATCTAATAGACTATAAATAATACTAATAATAAAAAATAATGATAATTGAACATAAAAACTCAAAGCTGTATATTCAAAAACTAAATGTAATTTTTAAGTAAGCAGATGTTCGTAAGTTGTAATTTATATTGGCCTAGGTGCATAAAGAAATGGAGAAATGAGTTTGACATCTAATTAAATAACTATGTTAAAATATATATGTAGAACTGGTGTATGGAAAGAAGTAGGGATGCTTTACTTATTGTTTTCCGGACAAAATTTTATTTTATTTGGGAAACAAACAATTTCTTATTACATTTAGTATCTATATGTCATATAAATAACATACAAATCAGCAAAGTTTCCACAAATAAATAGAATATATTTAATATTCAAAAGACAGAAATACCAAATACTCATTCAACAGTAAAAAGTAAGACAATATGGCGGAGATAAGATAATTAAGTAACTATAAATACATAATTAGGTGTAGATAAATTCTCTAATGATGATGTACATCATAATCATCATATCAGCTGTTAACTGTCCACTGTTGAATGCAGGCCACCCCTTTACAGGATTTCGCCAGTAGTTGCCATGCTTAGCAAGTAGATTAGATAGCCACGGTTAAACTTTGGAGATGTTTTAAGAGGGACGCTGTTGCTTATCTATTGACCCTTAAGTTCTCTTAGTCGCCTCTTACGATACCCACGAGTAAGGAAGCGATGACCTATTCTATTAAAAACTTTAAAAATTAGAAATTAAAAACATGCCAATTCTGAATTTATTCCAAATACAATTGAACTAGAAAGTAAATTTAGTCGATTTTGAGAAATATTTTCAATATACTGAAGTAAAAATTATTTCTTTATGTAACAGAAAAAAATATGTAGTTATAAAAAAATTATGTCAACTATTTTATATTATATATAATTTAATATATATCGTGGAGGACAATCTTGAACAGCTTGTGTCTGAAATCGAGAGACGTTAGCTAGGGCCTCTGATCGGGGACGACAAAACTCAGTCCAGTTTAATTCTGCTAAGACACAAGCTTGCGTGTTCATCGCTAAAAAAACATTTGTTGTGCCTCCACAATTCCAGGACACATCTTTTAAACTCTCTAAAAGCGTTGGGTCTCTCGGTTTTGATATATTTAGTGACGTACAGTTTCGTGGCCACATCGAAGATAAGGTGAAGCTGGCATTAAAAAACTCGGTGTGCTTAATAGAGCGAAGCAATACTTTACGCCGGATCAACTATTAATGCTCTATAAATCTAAAATTCGGCCTCCCATGGAGAATTGCTGTTACTTATGGGCGGGAGCACCTAGATACCAGCTTGAACCCTTCAATTCAGTGCAACGATGAACTATGAGAATCGTCGATAATACCAGGCTTACCAGCCTAGTATTACCAGCGGTATCGAACTCTTAAGCGTTAGGAGAGATTTTGTCTCACGTTGCGTGTTCTACCGCTTGTACAATGGACTGTGCTCAAATCAATTGTTCAATATGAGTTTACCCCTATATCTTAAAGCCTTGATGGTCCCGTACAGCGCGGTTTTAGGGGTTAACCGCAGTTATGCTTATAGAGATGTTTTAGGAGGGATGTGGCAACCACATCCCTCTGCCATTAAGTTACCTTAGTAATCTCTTAGGATACCTACAAGAAATGAAGGAATGGCCTATTCTATGCCGAGACCATACGGCCAACTCACATACAACAAGTATACTTCATATTTACAACCAATCAATGATAGATTCTTTTTACGATTTGTTTTTATGGAAGATAATGAAATAGTAACCCTGGCTGCCCTATTGGTACATACAGGCAAGACAGTAGTAAGGTAAATGATAGGTGAGAACTTGGAGTGCGGATGAAAGCAGGTCAGTTGCCCCAACGTGACGAATTCATTAAGAATTAACCACGATGACCGGACAGGGTACATTGGTAGTCGTACTTCCAAGGTCACCTTTTAGTTTCATAATCAGAATATTATGTTAAAATAAATATTGGATTTAAGTTTTGCCTTATTTTCCTAGATATCTAAATATGATGGATTTAGACTCAGATGTCAGCGATGTGCTTCATAGATGAGCCTGTTAAAGAAATAAAAGACCTAGATATCATAGAAAGTAGTTGAACAGTAGAGATAGGTATGTCACTCTTTTCAAATTTTGGCATTCTAACCCTAAAGTGATCAAATAATCACATCTGCAGACAGAATAATGGATATTTAGGTAGGTTCTTTCGTTTTAAAAAAAATATAAATAAAAAATCAGTTGCACATTTAGATATAGGCCTATAGGTAAATATGTTCTAATTTGTTAACATTAAGTATGTGTCTACCTGCGCCTAGATATATGATATTTTAAGTCTTAAATGTAATACCCAACTTAAAAATAAGATCGTAGGTTGAAATCATGATCCCAATAAGTGTTTTTAAAATTTCATACTGCTTAACCTAATAAATAAAAAAAAGTAGGTAAAGGTCATAACACTTACTTCAATACATTTTATGTAAAACCTAATATAAATAAAAGTGTAATAAGACCTGCCTTATGCTAAGCGGTTAGAACTATTATTAACCAATATACATAATATAAGCTTGTATAATAATGTACTTAGCTTACTTAGCTACTTATAACTTAATGAGAGTTGTTGCCTGTCGTTTATGTTGAGATCGAAGGTTGAGACCTATGATAATTGTAATAAAATTCTTTTATTAGATAAATATTTTACAGAACCAGCAAAAGAAGAGCCCGCCGAAGAAGCAGAAGAAGAAGAAGAAGACTGCGAAGAGGAAAAATAATACTACTTTGTAGTATTTAGATAGTTAAATGCCATTATTTTTCTTCTACAGTATTCGTTACATTAATAGAAGTTTTTTTTTTAATTTAATTAAGAATATTATTATTTAATTTATTCAGTATTTTATTTCATTCACAGCAAGCTTCGTAAACACTACACACAGTTTGTTTCTTTTCACGCAAATTTAAAAAATGTAGACCTGACAATTCTGATAAATAAGAAACAATTATCTTAATATTTATTACTTAATTTATGTATTTTATACAAAAGTAACTAAAAATTAATTGTTATATTAATACTAAATTGAAAATATTATACAAAAATAAAATATTTATTTATTTTTAATAACTAATGGTGGCTGGTGTAATCTTACAAACGTACATAAAACGGAACGCATCAATATTCCTTCTTTCAAAATACGTATTTTGACGTGTTTTCGCATGTGATGTGATATTCTTTAAACAAAAATATAAAAATGTCTGTGGTAAAGAAAAAGAAGCATGTATCTAAAAAGAATAAAAAGGCGTGGCGTAAATACTGTGATATCACAGATGTGGAGGAATTTCTAGAGGATCAACGCCTGGAAGAAAGACTCGGGTGAGGTTATGTTGACATCTTAATAAAGATATAAAATAATATTAATAATAAGAATGCATTTCTATTTTATATTATTAGATCTTGGTAATTTTATGTGAATTTCCTGTATCTTTACTTGCGTGATAAATTTAATTATATTTTTTTTATATATTATTCATTCTTACGTTTATTAACATCATTAATAATGTTGACCATCATTAAAGTGGCTTAGTGATAAAGAGATTTCGTATTGAGTTTCCTATTTTTTGCAGTATTAATATTTCTTTTTCTATATAATTAAAAAGTTTCATCTTAATGTATTTTTCTCCAATTACCTCAGTCAAAACATTTGACTAACTGCTGACATTTCATCTAAGTGTTTATTTGCCTCCCGTTATTATTTATTGATCTTTTTCTTTCTCTTTGACCTTCTGTTATATCTTCCAAGACGTGTTCTATAAAATTGTCAAGTCATATGGGATGGATTAGCATTATGTTTCTTCCTTTCTTAATTATTTTCATCAGTATTCCATGGTATTTACTTTTAGAAAATTTGAAACCAAACCAGACAGTGAGTTGTTTGTAGTAGACACACAGGGTGATGTGAAAAATCTAGAGGAAGATGTGAAGCCAACCTTTGTATCCGCTAAGCAGAGAAAACGTCTACAACTTGCAGCAACTCCTAAATGTTATGAAATATTATTGCCATCATCGAAGGTAAAGAAATAAATAATAGCATATAATACAAGTTATTTTAATTGACTTTTGATTCTCTTAGTCAAACTGCTTTTAGCATTTAGTTGTCTCTGCTTTTTTGATTTGTTGATATATATAGAATATAATTTTATATGTGAAGAGATACATAGAATTATATTTATACTAATATGTTTATAATAAAGACATATTTCTAATAATCAGTTTTAAAAATAATTAAAGATTGTGTCCCACAAAAAAAAAAAAACCAACATCAATTGTGACAGACCTAATTATTTTATTATAAAAAGTAAACTTTTAGTTGTTAATTTTTTTTTATTTAAAAACAAATCTATGGAAACAATCTGTAAGTATATCTTTTAGATCCTTATTATCTTCGTTTTATCCTTTTAGATAAAACAAGTTTTTTTTCATTTAAATTTTGCAAACTTGAGAATCTCCTTTTTTTTTAATTTGGATAAAAAACTATAAAAGAGTAATAATTCTACAGTAATGTATAATGTAACAAAACTATTAAACAGTTTATCTGTGCTTATCATTGTTGTGTTGCTCAGAATGAAAATACTAAAAAAATAAACTATAATGAAACTACATGATTTATATTTATTAAAAAATAATAATATATATTAATAATTTTATTTTCAAAAAGCTAATTATATGTGTCATGTATAATTTGTATATTATGATATTACATATGGTAGAGTACAATGTGTCATCTTGAAACAAATATGAAATAGAATGGCTGCACCTTCTGCACTATAGGTATACACTGGCTGAGCATCATAGAATGAGGATAGGTATAAATAAAATCAGGCCAATTAATACGTCCTGATAAATTTAACAGGAATTAAACATGAAGTTGGTTGTTTGGACAAGTGTGTTTAGCAATAAGACTGGCTCTTGTATTATGTTATACTTATTGAAAATCCTCAACAATTCATGTAATCTTGGTGCAATACAGTGTTAAATAAATAATTGAATAAATGAAAATTATAGGAACTAAACACATTTGATCAAGCGAAGGAAAACTTAGTCAAGTTGCCTAATTTGCAACTATCACTGAGACATTTATAGATAGTAAAAGAAGAAAAAGTTTATTTCTGTAATCATATTTCAGGTGGAAGATCCAAATAAAAAACGTAATCATGTAAATCCTGTGGGTTTCAAGCCTACTGCGTTAAGTAAAATATCTGAGAAGCGTCGCTTTGCCAAAGGTATTTATGAGAAGAAATTGCAAGAAGTGAAGAAGAATAGAAAGATGGAACTGCAAAAGAAAAAGAAAATGAAGAAGGCAAGAGAGACTTTCAAATTAAATCTTTGGGGAGGAGATGGTGAGTAAACATTACTTTGTTTTTTATAGGCAATGATTACTGCTTTCCATCAGATGGGTTGTCAACTTGTTTGCCATTCTAAGTTGCATAAAAAAAAACTTGTGTGAGAATGCTATCCGCTTGTATGTTGTCCTCATGCACCTTTCTCTTCACATCCAACCTCTATTTTTTAATTTGCTAGGCCCAAATCTAATAAAAAAAATCAAATTTATCAAAATGGAAATTTTTACAAAAAATTATGAAAAATGTATAGTTGTTTTTTTTTCATTTTGTCAATTTTTTTAACTAATTTAGTTCTATTTTAATTTGATGAAGTTCAAAAACCTGATATTGAGTGGTCATGCTCAGTAATGAGGACTATATTGGTTATGGTTATTTTTTTTTTGTTATATTGAGTTATTAGAGAAACATACAATTCCTAGAATGAATAAAATAAATAAATATATAATTAGTATTTACAAAAGGAATATTGAGATGTAGATAAGTTATTTACTTACTATTTCTAGAGCACCTTGCATTAACATTACGTAATACAAAAGGGGATTCAAAAATCTTATCTGTCTTTTATTTTTAAGACAACCTTAGGGTAATGGACTAATTGTTATACAAATAGGCATAATAATATTGTGTTTACATTTAGTTTAAAATTTATTCTTTTTAACATTATGTTTGTGTACAATAAAAATTAAAGAATAATTGTTTGAAAATATAGATTGCTTTCAGCAATAAGACCGCCTTACTGTACTTATATAACTGTATCCTTATCATTATTGTCTTCCTTGTTTTCTATATTGTATAATGCAAATAAAATATACTTATTCATTATTTATATTTTTTTATAAAAATATTTACCAAACAATTCGTTATATTTCAGTGCCAGAAATTAAAGGGATCCCAGAAACATTATGTGATGAGTTCATTTCTTCAGAAGCACAATTACATAATGTATTGCCCGTCCAGAGAATTAGACCGAAGCCACCACCTCCTAAGACGGTCACAAGAGCAGCAGTGGAGACTCCACACCCTGGTATCAGTTATAATCCATCCTATAAGGTAAATAACAAGTGAGATGTATTGGAAATGTATAGGGAGAGCCTATTTATACATACATATGTGTACAAGTTGAAATGAATGTTATTTTAAGAGAATAATAATAATAATTTATTTACAAAATATTGGTGATTGCTAGTAGCAGATCTTAAGTTACAGTTGTTCAGCAATATTTACCATTTCGGTGTGTAAATGTTTTTTTACAATTACTAAAATAATAGTCACAATAACATCAACAAAACCAATTACTTCAAATTACAATCACGAATAATAAGTCAATGTTATGCTTTTACAGTGTCAAGTATCACAAATTACATCTATTCAAAAAATCTTTCACAGAACAGAACCAACCATCAATTAGTTAGTTAAACAATCTTCCCCTAAACTGTGTGTTGGTCAAATTTTTGACAGAAAGTGTTGTACCAGTAACTGAATATTTTTCCACTGATCCAACAAAAGACTTTATTTGGTTGTATTTTTCCTTTTGTTTGTTACCTCACAACTCTGTCAGTCCTAAACCTATTTGAAATTTTTTTTTTGTCAAAAAGGATATACTTACAGATCGGTCTTATAAAATTTTTATCAAAATCAGTTTAGTAGTTTAGTTTTTAAATAAAAATAATTAGTTTTACCACAATTGATGTCAGATTTTTATTTCATGGTCGACCCTCTGATCTTGTATTGATTTATAAATAACTTGTTATTGTGTACAGGAACACCAAGAGTTACTGCAGGAAGTTGTTAATCATGAGCAGAAGCTGATGAAACGGGAAGCACACTTGCTCAGGGTCACCAATAAAATGTTCAGGAAGGTCACCGCTACGGAGAAAGAGGTAGGTGTTGCATATAATATATATGTTTCAGCAAAACCCATTAAAAATATAAACATGATTGATATTTTTTTATACAACAAAGGGGGCAAATAAGCATACATCCCATCTGATGGTAAATGGTCAGTATTTACCTACGGACGCCTGCAACACCAAGGGTGTCACTTGTGTGTTGCCGACCCTGAAGAAACCTTAAATATACCCCTTTGATTGAAGAAAATTTATCTGATCAGATAGTTTGCATACTAACATTATAAACGTGAAAGTGAGTTTGTTTGTTACTTTATAGCGCCTTAACAGCTTAACTAATCAGTAGGAAGGGAAGGCATTTAGTAATGGGGAGGTTAGACTCCATTGCTATCAATATATCCTATCAGGTCGACCTTCACGCGGTTCCCCCTGGAAACCATTGTGGTTAATTTCAGGTATATCCATCACGATGGGCTAACTGACCTGCTTTTTAGTTCTTACCTATAGTTTCTTATTGATGCCCCGCCATCGTATACAGGGTATGACAGGGTATATTGTTAGCAATCAGACTGGTAGCCTGCATTGCATTACGTAATCGTTTGAACAATTTTGGAGATTATTGTGGATGAACATCGTGACATGGGATTTTTATATATGTATTAACATTTATATCACTTTCAGAATCAATGGCACGAAGAAATGAGCGAGGGTCTTCCTCAACCGCACAATCCGGCGGATAATCCAACACAATCCGATGCTGATACTGATGACGAATATAAAGCTGTGAACCCACCAGTTCAGAACAAGAAGAAGGATCACAAGGCCAGAAGGAAACAGAGGGAGCAGATAGAGGAACGGGAAAAGTTAAAGAGGCAGAAGATTGAAAAGAAGAAGATAACCGATTTGTACAGGTCAATATCTGCATGCATAAAGATACACTAGTTGACATAGCAAACCATATTTTGCTCCCTGCTGCCATTTACCGGGTACATTTTTTCTTATGGAGATAAAAATATTTTGTCTTACGAAAGGGGTCCATCTTGGATCCCTACCTAACCCTCCCAAGAGGGGGAGTGATTGTTAGCAATGGAGTTTGATATCCTCATTGCTAGCAATATTAGGTCGACCTACACACGGTTCCCCCTGGAAACCCTGACTGGTTCATTGTTGAATTTGTCACGATGGGCTAACTGGCCTACTTCATCCTCACCTATCATCTCTCACTGATGCCCCGCTGGTGTTTACCGATAGCGCGGGCGGGGTTACCAGTCCATTATCACCCATTAAAAAAAACCCTCCCAAGAGAGGGGGTGGAGATATAAATCTCCCTTTTCATTCCATATAGTATGTGTATTCCAAATTACTAATTTAGTGATCGGTTAATGCCTTGTGGTCCAGGCATAGTATGGGGGCCACCCCTTCCTATCCCATGGGTGTCGTAATAGGCGACTATGGGAACTTAAATGTCGAGGAATCGGCAACACCGTCCTTCTTAAAAACCCACTAAAAGCTTAACGGTGGTTTTTTAAGTGTGGCAACTACTAGCAATCCTACATCCCCCTCTATGGGGGAGGCCTGTGTTCAACAGTGGGCAGTTAATGGCTGATATCAAAGAAAGCTATTTAGGTAACACGTTAGATCTGAAATATCACTTCTCTCTATTAAGAAAATCAATTTTTTTTCAGGCTTCGTAAACTGCAGTCGTCAATATTGAAAACGGAAGAACGCCAGAAGGAGGAATGTACAAAACGCTCGAGCAAACGCACCGCAGCCGCAGCCACCGCTCTACCCGCACTCAATGCACACAAAATCAACAAGAAAGAACCGGACTTCATCGATCCAGAACAACTTACTGGGGACTTGATGCACATCAATAGTAAAAGTAAGACATCTTACTAATATTAACACTAAGCTCCTAACAGTGATCTATTAATTTGCCTGAAGATGCTACAAAACGTGCGTGGACGAAATGTTAGTCGGAGATTGATGCGAAATAGCTAATGTGGAAGTTTGTAGTACTTTAATCTTCGAGTGTTGGCGATCGCATATATACTAAAGGTAGCGGAATTAAACAAAATAATTCTAATTAAGTAACCAGTGATATGGAATTTCGCAAAATAACACCTAATTCAGTAAAATATTTTACTAATAACCAATGCAGGTATACTATTCTATTATCACCTGTAAAATACCGGAGGGGGAATGGGATTGGTAATAGTGGGGATTAGCAACTTTATTACTGGCAATGTGCCTTGTTGGGTTGACCTCCTCGCGGTTCCCCCTGGAAACCATCGCGATTATTTCCTTGATGAATTTGTCACGATGGGCTGACTGACCTGATCTTCACTTATCATCCCTCACTGGTGCTCCGCCAGTGTGTACCGATGGCGCGGGCGGAGTTATTATTCCTTTATCATCCATTAACAAACAACCTATAAAATAGCTATATTTCTATTTTCTATTTTTTTTTATACTACTGAGGTGGCAAACAAGCATACGGCCCACCTGATGGTAAGCGGTTACCATAGCCTATGAACGCCTGCAATACCGATAATAATAATAATGAGGTATTACGCGCGCGTTGCCGACCCTGAAGAAACCTCTTTACCCCCCTTTTGAAGAACCCCATGCTGTAGTCTCTTGGGAAAACCTAGCCCTTGTTTATTTATTATTCTATTTTTTTTTCAGCAAACCTCCTTCGCGAAAGATACGAGTCGCTTCAACGACGCGGTGCACTCGCTGGAGCTAAACTCATGATGAAGAAGAAGAGGAAGGTAAAGAGTTACTTCAAACCAGGCCATAAGGTCACCGATCAAGAGATAGAGAGGTACATAACGAGATCCGCAGGTAAAAAGTGAGCTTAACCTGTCGTTTATAAGATGCAAAGTTGTAAATTTAGATTACTTCGCAAAATAAATTATATTGTGGATGTAGTGATCGACTTTCATTGTTTTTCTAATTTCAAAACAGGATCTACTAATCTTCTTCTTAAAAAAAAAATATGGGATATATTTATCAATTGTGAACTAAGATTTATATTTATCAAAGAGGTTTGAATTCCAAAATCTTTGCTTCCATCTGAAGCAAAGATTTTGGATTGGAAGTATATGTATTATATTGAATATACTTACAGGTCAGGATAAAAGATGCTAAAAAAATGCCATCAGCTGTAAAGCATTTTTTTTTTCTTTAATATATTTCACAAAAATTATTCTTTAAGAAGTTATAACCAAGGCGAATACTATATTATTATAAATACTAGAAAGTCGGATGACCAAGAATCATTATATTTTCTTGTTTAAAGACCATGATTAAGATATTGTTCAAAACTACAGACTGGTTCCCAAATGATTAATATGACTGTAAAACATCACCAATGTCTGCGGTTGCCAACTCGTCTGCCAAGTGTGGCAACTACATGTAAACTGCCCATATATGGGAGCGACCTTTATTCAGCAGTGGACAGTAACGGGTGATATGATGCAACGGGAATTTTATGAACTTATTATGTATGTATATAGACATTGTTAAAAATGGACATAAGTTTTTAAAACGACATGTTATTCAATAAAATAAAAAAAATATATTTTTTGTAAAAATTTATTGTAAAAAAGTTCCTTATCTGCTACCTAAAAAGTAAGATTACTTACAAAATATATTACAATAATATCGTGGCAGTGTAACAGTACATTAAACTACATACAATTAATATAGGTAACTCAGCAGTTTTAGGCATCCTTAACAATAGGAGAGTAATCTATAATGTCTAAACTATATTCAACTAACGAATAAGTCTCTAACATATATGTCAATAACAAAATAAGTTAACCACATACATTTTGTAACGGCCAGGGTGTAGTAAGTCGAGATCCAGTGATTGTCTCAGTAAACTGAACGATCTTTTAACAAAGAAAGAGAGAGACATATGAGATATAATATGAAAATAATATCCGTTTATATATATATATATATATATATATATATATATATATATATATATATATATATATATATATATATATATATATATATAAACGTCATCTTTTCAAATTCAAATTCAAAAATCATTTATTCATGTAGGACATTTTAGCCGCTTATGAACGTCAAATTTTAAAATAATAAAAAAAAAAACAGAATTCGTCTCATGTTCCTTAGTTGATCTGCTATCACTAGATTTCGGCTAGTTATACTCTGTCCATTACACGTTATGTATTAGCAAATGTTACATGCACTTACATCGAAGGGAATTTGATAAAATTATTCCAGTATTACCAAACTTACTGTACCCACTAAGATTAATCGTGTTTTATTCAACGTATTTATAAATATAACATCCCTGGGTTTAATTAGTTTTCTTTTATATTTATTTATCAGTTTTTACTCCATTGGTTTCTTCATTAATGATTACCTTATGACAGCCCTAGTTCAACATGACAATTTTTATACATGGCATTGTATAATCTACTGCAAATATAGTCATATGTTGGATGTATTTGCATGAAACATAAGCTTTATTAATTCGTAATAATTTTCAATAATTTTATTGAAAATTAATGACGATAAACGTAATTTTGAATACCAAGTACAAACTATCTACAAAGATCACATTTTTACAATTTATTTTATATTTAGGGACTTTAATGCCTTTTTATTCTTAAATCCAATTAATTTTAAAGGCATTCTTATATTTTTCATATTGCCTATTTATATTTACAATAATTCCTGTTCAAGTATGTGTACTTTTGATAATTCACTTTACGAAAAAATATGACTAATTAAAAAATGAGTATTTTATCACTTTGCGAAGAAGTAAATTTATCAAAATGCAACCAAAACCCCCTAAATATAAATGTATATGTCCAGTACTTTAAAACAGTCTAGTAACTTCAACCCCATCGCGATGCGATTGTATAAAGAGACCTTAATAATTCTAAAGCACGTGTATCTGAAGAACCTTTAAGTTGCGGTTCCTGTGGCGCTATTCTGGCTTCCGCATGAGGTATATCAAGCGGAGATTTGGTAGTCTTATCCTCAACTGGAGTTGTCTTGGTACCAAACTTCCTATGACCCCTACGATTGACTGGTGCCGATTTTACAGGACTTATTGTGGTAGGTATAGTCTCTGTTATAACTTCAGTGGTCGTTCGCACTACTTCTGTCACTGTAGGATTCGACAGAGAGTTTATAGCTTGCGACTCGGAATTAAAACTTTTAGGTCTCCGCCTATCATTCCTCTTATTCACTGTTGTTCCTACAGATTCATAATCAGTTGTCGTTAAAGGAATCTCTTCGAGTTCCTCTTTGGCAATTTCGTCCATGTCTTTCGGAGAAACCGCCATTAGTGCTTCTAATAAAGCCTTTTTAGATGCTTCCGCTGTTGTATTGTGATCATCATCGCATGTTTGGACCAGAAGAAGTATCAGTCTTTTAACACTTTTAGATTTAGTCTTCTTCATAACATTCATGAGTTTCTCGGTAGTTGTAGCGTTCATGCCTCCCATTATCTCCTTTGCTTTTTCTACAACAGTATCTGCGATTGTCGATAGGTCTTGGTTTGGCTCAGTGGCTGAAAGATCATTTATATATCTTCCAACTCGGTTATCAGATATACTTGTAGGTGTTGTTATCTCAATAGCTATAGATGATGAAACAGATTGCTCGCTAGAGCCAGTATATACTGGTGAAACTGTGGTGGCAGTGTTTGTCTCCCAGCTATTTGTTTGTCTAGCTACTTGAGACACTTCATCAGGGCTAGATGGGCTTAAACCGTCGTTTAAAGTAATGGGGTCAATGAACGTGGATTGCCAATTACCAAAAGTGCTGGACCATTGGAATTGGCTAGTTGTCTTTTCGACGTCGGGAGACGTAAATATTTTTTCAGGAATTGTTGATAATGTGGTAACATCAAGTTCTTCAAGTTTGACTGTGGTAGTCTGTGGCTGTTGAGTTGTAGTAAGTACAGTTGTCGCTTCAATGTCTGGTATTGTTGGTGCTTCTAGTTCTTCGGAAGGTGTTTGCTGTGGTTTGGTATCATCTATATTAATTTGTTTTCCATGACGATTGTTTACAAGATTATTTTGTGGACTTAAGAATGATTGGCTATGTGCTCTTTGCAATTCTTCCTCATTTTCTAATTCAATACTGTCACTTTCAGTGAAATAGACTGGTGTTGTAGTCGCGAATTCAGGGGCGGTTTTTATTTTTTTACTTTCGAAACCATCAATATTATTTGCATTTGTTAGTGGAGCCGCTGATTCAGATATATCAATACCCCAAGCAGTTGGTAGGTTTGTGGCCTGTACATATTCATTCAAAGGCTTCGCATTAGTAGGATTTAATCCTTGACCATATGGAGCTGAAGATAAATCAGATGCAGTACTACGGACTCCGACATAAGTGGGGGTAGCATAAGAGCTTTCTGTCGAAGTAATGAACGTTTCACTGTTGTTGACAAGGGAATTAATTTTAGCGGCAACGGTATTGGTAAAACTTGTAGGCGTTGTTGTGAGAATAGGGGTAGAGGCTGTAGTATATGAAGCCGATATTCTGCCACAACATCTGAAAGGACTTCTTGGTGTAGTTGTATGATAAGTCGTTGGCACAATTTCAGTAATAACTTGATGTTGTGTTGTCGGTTGTTCAGATATTGATGGATAATTAGTCGAAAGATTAATAGATTTTGCATCCCTCAAAGAAATCAAAGGTCGAGAAACTTTATTGTCATCTGAAAAACCTAATATTTCATCGTCATCTTCGTTTACAGTAGTTGTTGGTTCCGTATTATATGCCTCAGTTGCCATCATGTCACCGAATGACGGGTGAGTTGGTCTAATATCAGACAAAGCTTTTCTAAATTGTACAGGATCTTGGAGGTATGCAGAGAGAGCATGAGTAAATACTTGAGCTAGTTCTCTAATTTGGGGAGATGCGGCTATTGGGTTTTGACTTTGTTGAACGGATAAATCTTCTGCTAATTCGTTATATGTTCCGTTAGGATCTAATTTAATTTCTTCGAGTAACTCTTCATTCTTTTTACCATTTCTAAATAGTTTGCTGTATTTACTAATAGTTTGTCGGCTAAAAAGCGCTGGCAGGCCTTGTTCAAGTACTTGCTCATAATCATCAAATTGAGGTGAAATAGTTTCTGTCTCTTCTTCAGGTGATGGAGTAGTAGATATGTTGTCTAAAGCAGTTGCATAATAAATAGCCAAACTGTGAAGAGTTTTTGGAGTCAAGGATGGCGGTACAACTAAACCGGGTCGGTTAGGTAAATCACCATAGTACTTATCAGTTACAGTTGTGGGCGAAGTAGGTGAGGAATATCCAAAAGTCTCTAAATTGAGTTTTCTGATAAGTCTGTCTCTTCGTTCTTGATACGCCTCAGTAGAGACCTGATTTAAGTTATTAGATTTAGAAAATATATCAGATGTTTTGGTTGATAGAGATTGTCCATTTCTGGTCGTCTGAGGTATTTTTGTAGCAGATTCAAAGGTATTCTTTGTTTCAATTTTAATATTTTCTGTATTAGTTGTTACATTTGTGTCTATACTCAGTATGTTGGGGGGAGTCTCAGTTATTTGTTCCGTTGTGGAAGTCCCAGTTTTGTTTTTTTCTTTATCAATAAAACTTTTCAACAATGATACGCCAGGCCTGGTATATGGGTCTCGTCTATCATACACGCTTGTAGTGTAACTTTTTGTGTATGGTATTAAAGTAGGCCGTTTTGTTGTCTCTTCTTGACTTACTGTACGCTGAGTAGTCGTGTCATAACTAACTACGCGTTTCGTTGTCGTTTCTTGTCTTCCATGATTTAAGTTTTTATCACGGATATCATACAAAGTAGTTAAGTTTGGATTGTTCTTGGTTTTGATTGGTTTTGGAGTAAGATTTGGAGTATAAACTGGATAGGGTCGGAAATTTTTGCTATTATAATCTTGTAAAAATTGTCTATTGTTATTGTTCGTAAAAGATGCTGTTTCAGCTGCGACCTGCATTTCTCTAATGCTGTTATAGTCTACGGCAGCTAAAGTGGATCTAAATGACGGGGCTTCGGTATAAGTAGGCAAGGTAGGCTTTACTGGAGTATTGCCGAAACCATTTGTAATTAATTGCACCAAGTTTCTTCTCTTGTTATCAAAAGCAGTTGTAGGTTGTGTTCTTTGTGTTGGATTAGAATTGTCATACAAGCCTTGGTAGCCTCTAGAAGTTATTTTTGCATTGCCGATCGGGGATTCAGCATGAAGTCTCTGTCGGTGTTTTAGGAGTCGCTCAGTAGCTGTAGGAATATTAACTGATGATCTTCTGGATTCCGCCCGGAAATTATTATCAGTGCCAATCTGTTGGAGATCAGAATTCTTGCTTAAACTTTGCGTTACCTTCTGTGTCTTTTTCTGCTCATTTGAATAATACTCAGCACTGGACTCGTAGAGAGCTGGGGCTGATGCGCAGTCCACCTTAAACCACCAGTCACAGATGAGGTGGGACTGGCTGAAGATGGTGCCGTTTGGACACAGGAACGAAATCTTCCGTGATGTATCACAAATATGAAATACCTGGAAGAATAAGAGAACAATTATGTACACTTAATTATGATATTTGCATATAACATTTGCTAATAAACTTAATGTTTTGAGATTTAACAATACAAGGCGATGTTTAAAATTCTTGATAATTTGTAAGGCCTGGTTTAGGTACCAGCCACTCTAGACAAGTAGCAAGCGAATGAGTTGGAATGAGACATCCGACGTAGCTATCTCATTCTATATCCGCCGCCAAGCGTGGCGACTACTAGCAAAACTTTCCTTATGGGTAAGACTTATGTCCAGCAGTGGACAGTTAACGGCTGAAATAATAATAATAGTCAATAGTTTACCTGGCAATCGGTCTCCAAGTCTGCGTAGTATCCAGTTGGCACGTTCTTGCAGTTGAATCCTGTGTTTGGGATGTTCGGGTACGCCGGGAAATCCACACCAGCTTTGCCTATTACACCTGAAGCGATAATAGGTACATTTTACAAAATTTGGTTTTAAAATGAGACGAGGATAAAACTACTGGTAACTTGGCATAGCAGTACGACATAATTATTTCATCATCATATTATAGAAGTCCAAAATATACGATGATAAAAATGCTTTTGATCTCTTACGATTATGATCCTTAATGATTATAATCCTCCTTTGATTATTAACCATTGTTAAGAACGTAATACTCGACGTATCCACGTTTCGCCGAACATATTGGATAGAATTCCGGGCTATAGAGGTATAACATCTTCAGGAATTTAACGCATATAGCATCCCTTTATGCATCCCCGTGGATATTTTGATAGATAAATAATCATTTTATTTGAGTCGTCTATAACACGTTAATTTACAGCAAAATTAATATAATTAACATAATTTTAAGAATAAAATACAAAAATATTTTCGCCATATGTGTCGCACGGACTCAAATAGGTTACAGATCAGTGATATTTTTGTTTAAAAGCAAAGCACTGATTTTTAGCTGTAGCCAGAAGTTAGGCTACACGAACTAGAGTGTTCCTGTATGACTAGATCAATATACAGAAGTAAAATTATTATTTTATATAAATAATGATCAAATAATATATTTGATTAGTAAATTAAACAGTGATGTCGTTATATTTACATATGTTTATAGGCGACGGTTACCACGTTCCATCTGATGGACCGTTTATTTGCCATTCCAAATTCCATATAAAAAAGAAGTGCCCGCTACCTTGGTGTTCAACAACGTCAAGGTCCGGCTGACTTTCGGATGGTATCAGCCGTTTGACCAACGATCGGCCCTCCGTGTAGTGCTCGAAGCCAGCTGCACCCATCGCTTGAGCGATCGCCGTTAGACTCTCTGCACTTGGAGCCGGAACGTAGAGGTCCGAGGATCGGGAGGTGTCCTGGAATACAAGGAATAATCATAAAATAAAACGTTTTATACATTTTCTGTATGTTATACTAGGATTTACCCGTGACTTTGATTGTTTGACCGGGATAAAAAGTAGCCTCTCTTTCTCTATCCTAAATACTAAGTATATACCAAGGTTTATGATGTTTGATTGAACCGTTAAGGAATCAAGAAATAATAAGCAGTCTGACTTTCATATTTATAATATTAACAAGTATTATGCAGTGTGAGATTCTTCAAAAAAGGCGTAATATGATTTATTCCAGGTTAACAACACACATGTAACATCCCTAATGATACAGGCATCCATATACTATAGTAACTATTTACTATAAGACGAGCTGTACGCATGTTTGCCATTAATGTGATATAAAAAAATTTACATTTGTTAAGATGTAGGGATAAAATTATATTTATAAATATTTTATATGTTATTCGAGTATCCTATAATGCAATTGTAACTCATTTAATTAATTACATTTCATTAATTACACCTTTATAATTATTTTTTTATACCACAAAGATGGCAAATTAGCATATAGCTTGTCTGATGGTAAACGGTTACTGTAGCCTATGGACACCTGCAATAATAGGGGTGTCACGTGCACGTTACCGACGTTGAAGAAACCTTAATATATCCTTTTTGGAAAACCCCAAACTGTAATCACTAGGAATCATTTTAATGATTAATATTCCGCTTGTTCGCACAAAGCTTCTTCGTTTCTTAATCTGACAGTCAATGAACGAAATTCTCTCCTGGCTTTTGTGTTTTCTCTTAAGACCTAATATGTTTCAAGGCTAGAATCTTTCAAGGCCAGAGTGAATAGGCATTATTTGTGTCTACGCGCAATATCTTAGACCACGTCATTTCTTAACACGAAACGAGGTTGCGGTCAAACGCGAATTTCCTAATAAAAAAAGTTATATAAATAATTTTTTTTATTAAGATTTTGCTCTACAAAATAAGTCGATTTCTATCGTGACAAAATTATTAGTTGTAACACGGGAATAAACTTTACAATTGCAAAAATATTATCAAAAGCAGTTTAGTATTAGCGAAGATGTTGACGGCATATTAATAACTTGCTCTTTATTGAAGTCGCTTGCAAATTAGTAATATCAAAGAGTTGTCAAAACCCCAATCAGTGTCATGTATAAGAAATCCATGTACTCACAAAATTTTGTTTCCCGCATAAATTTCTGATTCCCGTCGCCCGTATTAAACAGCGAGTACAGGATACCCAATTTAATTAAGTGTACCAATCTACATAAGTTTTCAACTGATTTCAAAAAGTAGGCTTCTCAATTGGGTTGCATTTTTTTATATTTGTTACCTCATAACTCTATCAGTTCTAAACCGATTTGGAATTTTTTTTTTCTAAATAGATTCACCTACAGATTGGTTCCATAGAAGTTTTTTAAAAATCGATTTATTGTAGTTGTTTACTTTTTAAATAAAAATAACTAATTTTGTCACAATTGAAGTCTTTTTTTGGGGGATACAATCTTTAATCCTATATTTTACATACAGGGAGTGCTCTATTAGCAAATTTAAATATTTTCACTAAAGAAACGTAGGAGAAAAAGGGCATCACCTTATTGTTATTTAGTGCTTTTTTATTTTATTTCAGACAATGAGTTTCTATATAAACAAACCATAAGTCTGTATGTACCTTTAAATACACATTTAAACATTACACTTTTTTTTTATACAACTTAGAATGGCAAACAAGCTGACGGCCCACCTGATGGAAAGTGGTAACCGTCGCCTATAGACATGAGCAGTACTATGGACATAACAGAGTATACTGTTTCGCCCATGATACCCCCATGCGTTGCCATTCCTGAGGATTCAGGTGTTATTCCTCTGTACCCAGTAAATTCACGCCATATCCCACCCTTCAAACCGAAACACAGCCATGCAAACACAACTGCTTCACGGTTGAAACACGAATGGGACAGAGGTACCCAAGCAATCGACTTTTGTACAAAGTCTCCCTCTGGTGAAAACCACTTTCTTCGCCATATGTATTCTATATTATTCGAATCCATGAGAATCCTTGTATAATTATGACCCTACTCTCGCTAGTCAATACATTGGCATCGATTGTTTCAGATCATTTGTGTTGACTTTCTCTTTCGTTGCTGTCGGTCGAACTTACGAGTATTTCAATGATGATTACGAATTGTCTATTAAGACTTAAATTAATGGTTAACGTAATGACGTTTATAACGCTGTCGTTAGTTAAACATGTATAGGTAAATTTTAGTTGACAACGATAAAAATACAACCGAATTGAGAACCTCCTTTTTGAAGTCGGTTAAAATGATTTTTTGTTAAATTAACAAATAAGTGCAGGATATTATGATAGGGCTGATAAATGCTCTGTTCTCAGTGAATAATTTGAATAGCCTCTAGATCAGTGTTTCCCAAGCTTTTTTGTGCCTATGCCCTACTTGAACATTTCTAAAATTTTTATGCCCCTTTATACATATTTTTTCCCGACAAAGTTTATTTGACGACTTTAATCGCTCAGGTGATATTTTGGTAACGTCAAACAAAATTATACAAATATATATATATATATATATATATATATATATATATATATCTGTCACGCCTGTCTTCCATTAGGGTAGGCAGAAACAATGGAACGCCAAATGCTTCGATTCAAACAAACCTCTTTCGCTTCTTCCACATTCATCAATCTTGTCATACACGCTCGTCGGTTACGGGTACTTTTAATTTGGCCCTTCTTCAGCACGTCGCCTATTTGGTCGACATACGTCCGTCTAGGGCGGCCCCTACCGACATCTCCATTCATTCTTGCTCGATAAATCTCTTTCGTAATTCTTCTTTCATCCATCCTCTCCAAATGACCAAACCAACGCAACATTCCTTTTTCGATTTTTGTCACTACATCGTCTTTCAGTCCACACTTCTCTCTAATCACACTGTTTCTTACTCTATCTTTTAAAGTAATACCACACATACTTGTCAAAGCTCTCATCTGTACAGCATTTATCTTACTTTCATGCTTCTTCTGCCATACCCACGATTCGCTTCCATACATGAGTGTTGGTGTCAGTACTCCTTGAATTATAGCAAGGCGAGCTTTGCTCGATACATTTTTACTTGACATAATCGAGTTTTCCTGTTTCCCGCTTTTACTCTCCTCTCAATATCTCTGTCACACTTCCCATCCCTCGTAAACAAAGAACCTAAATATAGAAACTCACTCACTTGCTCCACTTTTTCATCTCCTATCATAATCTGGCATGCCGTTAAACTTTCATTCCTCTCAAAAACCATTACCTTCGTCTTCTTCGCATTTATTTTCATACCTTTTCTTGCATACGCTTCATTCATTATAGTCACCATTTGTTGTAATTCATACTCCGACGATGCAAAAAGTACTTGGTCGTCGGCGTATAAAAGAGTCTTAAACAGAGACTCATTCATCCTGAATCCACAATTAGATCCTTTCAAATCGGTCAAGCAACTGTCCATAAATAGGTTGAACAGCCAAGGAGACGCTACACAGCCCTGTCTAACACCGCGTTCAATGCCAAACCAGTCTGTATAGACTCCATTTATTCTCTCATTTTATTCCATTTATTCATTTAAAATTATACCTAATAAATATTTACAGCATTTTTTTATTTACTTTTTTTTATTATATTTGTACCGATATCTACTTGTAGCATTTAAATGGCTCGGAGCAAGAGGGCTAAAATCGCTTCGAGTCCGTTTTTTAATTGCCCTCCCCCCCCTTAACTATCAAATTGCCCCTCTGTGGGGCGGGGGCCTTACATTGGGAAACACTGTTCTAGATTATACAACAATTAAATAAAAGAAAAAAAAGGAAGATCTGACCTTTCTACGCTGCGCTGGTCGCCGAGCCGCATCGCACACGCCTGTAAATGTAACAAGTAAAAAATATTAATGTATTCCTTTTAATAATTGTAGGCAGTAATCACCAGAGGGCGACTTTGTCTCACTGATTGGTTTGAAGGATGTGAAATGGCAGGGTAGGTATAGAGGCATAATTACGTAGTTTTTAAAAATCAATCAATGAAACAAATACGATAAAACAAATTTGCACGTTCCATGATGCAGTTGATGTCTATAGATAATGGTTACTATGATCCTTTATGGATTAATATGGATAATTTTTACTATTGAACTATTGACTATTTTAATAATTAAAGTGTTTTGTTTTTGTCTTTTAAATTGAAAAAATTGTGCAATAGAATAAGACAAAACACTTCAATAGTTAAAATAGATTTATGAGAGGTAAATCTTAGTACCTAACAACAATACAAATTTTCAAAATAAAATTAATCGACGATTTATATAGGAATCTATACTAATAATAATATATAATACCTATATAATTTTAAATATGTATGTATGACGAATATTTATATAGTAAGTATATAAAGTAAGTAAAGTAGGTGTAGGTAATAATGACAAGAGAAAAATAATTTTATTCATGCATCATAGTTGTACGTCTTATATACAAAGAATAATTCAAATATGAAAGCAATCAAATTCCGATCACAATGTACATAAAAATATAGTGCATAATTGTTACTATAATTACAATCTGAGAGATATATCGATTATTAATCGATGAATAAGAATGAACTCTATTTACGCAAAACAATAGTGCACCATATTCACGACATGTTCCCAAACTGATCAACAATCGGACAATGCGATTTGTCACAGAACAAATCGCGATTAATCGAACTATATTGTGCTCTATGAATAATTTGCTGTACCTGTCTGCTTTCTATTCCATTGGATTATTAATAATTACATTTAGATAATACGAGACGTTATCGACTTAGAGATGAGCGGACGTGAATGATTAATTCGAATGATTTTCGAATAGTTCGCTGTTTGAATTATTCGTTTGTAAGCATTGTCTGTATGTAAATGGATTGTGTCTAACTATCTATTTGTTGTAGCTCGGTGATGAAAAATTTATTATTTTAATAACAGGGAAGGAATTTTCATTCCACCATATGTATTTATGGTAAGCATTTTTCTTATGTAACTCAGAGTGGTATGCTGACAGCCTATTCGATAGAAAGTGGTAAACCCTTACATATACTATACGCGTACTACTTTTTTTCAATGGTTCATAATGAAATGGTAACCTCGCTTGCGCTATCGACATACGCTGGCGGGGCACCAGTGAGGAATGATAGGTGAGGATGAAAGCAGGCCAGTTAGCCCATCGTGACGAATACATCTGGAATTCAGCACGATAGTTCCCAGGGGGAACCATGTGGAGGTAGACCTGACAGAGTAGATTGCTAGCAACGTGACTGGTAGTTCGCATTACTAATAACCCCCCCCCCCCTCCTTCCGGCCTTCACATACTATTTATGCCGTACCATGAGCATCACAGAATACGCATAAACATTTGACATTTTTTACTAAGATAGACCGATCACTATCAGAATAATAAATATAAATATGTTCTAATTATTTATTAAAAATATTTATTGTCTTTGTCTTATTGGCACTTACTAAAAATTCAAAAAACGAAAATTTTCGTTCGAATAGTAATTAATCATATTTAGCAAATCACTCGAATAATTCGATTGTAATTAATTGGACCATCGTCCATCTCTATTATCGATGTAATCGATGCGTGATCGATATGCAATCGATCCATTAGTGATCAATCAGTTTGCAAAAATATGAGGAAATGGTACGGAGGCGGCTTATTTTTGCAATGTTAAAGGTCAAAGTTCTTTATAATTAAGATGGGATCTAAAGATAGGTTTGTTGATTCCACGTAAACTCATTATATTAAAAGATATTGGATAATAGATAGTTAAATTATATATTTGTAATAGTTATTAAATTTAATAAAAAAATTTTGATTGTTTTATGGATGATATTAATGGATGATAAAGGAATGGTAACCCTGTCCGAGCTAACGGTATACACTGGCGGGGCACCAGTGAAGGATGATAGGTGAGAATGGAAAGGCAGGTCAGTTAGATCATCGTGGTGAATACACCTGGGATACAGTACAATGGTTTGCAGGGGGACCACGTGGTGGTCGACCTTAGCAATGCGGCTAGTATTCTGCATTACTAACAATGCCTTCCTACCTGGGAAGAGATTGTTAGTAATGGGGAACATGCTCCCATTACTAGCAATATACCCTAACAGGTCGACCACCACGACCATCCTGGAAAACGTCATGGATAATTGTAACAAATTTGTATCGATACGCCATCAGGCCGAATTTCATTCATCTTCATAGTTTCATCCATCTCTGGTTTTTTTTTTATACCACTGAGGTGGCAAACAAGCATACGGCCCACCTGATGGTAAGCGGTTACCGTAGCCTATGTACGCCTGCAATACCAGAGGTATTACGCGCGCGTTGACCTTATTATAAATCAGTATATAATTCGATTTCAGATTTTTTAAATTTTTAAATGGAAATTTACTAAATTGAAATTATGACATTCTTACACGATCACGTACACGAATTAATTAATTCTCAGTTTCTCAATAGGTAAGTAGGAATTACATTATGTAATTACATACAGATATACAAATCAACAACGTTTCACTATGAGGACTATTGTTATAATTTCGAGCGTACAATAGTTGGTAAGATCATGTCAATGGTGAGGAAGTACCGAGCTATGTGAAAGTGTTGCAACTCATGCGCGATGAACCCATATACCTATCGGCACATTTATACATGTATATTAATCTCAATCGTGATATATAGTTAAGTATAGCAATACCGGATTAAGCCTAGTGTTGGGCTCGTATCGAATACGCTAATAAGTTTTTTAGATAGATTTTTTACATAGATTTCATGAACGTTTTTAGTTTTTTTGGGAGGTCTATTCAGTTTACAGTCTGGTTTTCAAAATATTATTAAAATAAAAAAAAAACTTGATTATAATCAGATACACATGATACATGTACTATTAAAATTTTTACTTTTATTTACTTCTTATTTTGCTTCGGAAGTTATTAAATATTTTTTTATTATATAAATAAACAATTTCATTATTTTATTAGTTTCAATAATTATTTAATTAATTTTTTTTTCATATTATTTTATAATTATAACATAATAAACATTGTAGTTTGCTATCAGAGCTCTTTTTGAAAATTGACAATTAATTCCGAAATTGCCATACTTCAGTGAACTTTGGTATGAACGTTTATAACTTCTTTGTAGATCGATCTTGGTATGTATGTGTAAGCTTGCTTTAACTGAGCATTTAATGTTCAATAAATACTAGTTTTCCCCCGTTTCAGTTGTATAAATAAATAACTGAAACGGGGGAAGTTAGTATTCCGTAAACAAATAATTCATTATACATTACTTATATACCTATGATAATTATTCCTTAATTATTTATCTACTAGTTTTTTTTATACAAATTAGAATGGCAAACAAGCCGACGGCTCACCTGATGGAAAGTGGTAACCGTCGCCTATAGACATGAGCAGTACCATGGACATAACAGACTATACTCTTTCGCCCATGATACCCCCCATGCGCTGCCATTCCTGAGGATTCAGGTGTTATTCCTCTATACCCTGTAAATGCATATATGTTCGCCATATCCTACCCTTCAAACCAAAACACAGCCATGCAAACACAACTGCTTGCTGTATATGTTTACTGGGAAGTCTATATCCTCCTACATTTCATATAGTACGTTTATACCAAACTTCATAGTGATTGGTTAAGTCGTTAAGACGCTATAAGGTAACAAACAAACTCAATTTCATATTTATTGTTTGATGGAGGAATATTGGAATAAAAGACATACAGGAGATGGTAAAAGGACGGCGATTATTGTGGAAATGAAGAGAAAAAACATTAGTAATCGTAACAAAAGAAAGACATGTGTAAAATTTGTATAATTAGTTTTTTTTTCTAAAGAAATTGATTTGCGAACGATGGCAAATATTTATAATATTACTAGCGGCCCGGTACGTGCTTTGCTATATATAAATTGAAATAATAAAAAAAAATTTAAATGACCCCATGAATGACATAACAATATGCTTGTGTTGTCAACACTGAAAAAAGTTTCAATTTGACAGCACAATCCCTATCTTAAAAAAAGTTTGAATTTGACACAAAAATCCCCATTAACAAAATGATCCGCCATTTATTGAATTCATTTGTTACAAAAAAACCATCTACTAAATAGTCCGAACAAAGCCTAAACATTTGGTTTTGATAGGTGAGCCCGTTCTTGGGTTATAAAATTACAACGAAAAGTGGCATTAATTTTTATATATATAGATTAAGGATATCATTAAGAGATAATATTAATTACGTTCTAAGATATGATTATACGATAAATATATACGAATACGGATATGCAGCGTACATGGCACATCACTAAAGAATCGTGAGAAGAAGCCGCAGCACTATTATGTCGGCGAATAATAAAATTAACGCCTCAGGCCCGAGGGGCACGTTGGATTGTTTGCACTAGTCGATTGGTATCTAGACTTAGCTGTGGGCTCTTAATTTAAATTGCTGCTCTGTGGAAGATTGAGGTTAAACGGACATTATGTTTGAATTGATCTTAGACATCAAGCCCTTAATTATATACCTACGTTAAATATCTGTTAGTATATAGTATCTGTTAGTATTTAGTATAGGTATGTATTCTTACCTGTATTTGTTTTTTAATTTGCTACCACTATTAGTATAGGCAGGCTAGATGTATCTGACTTTTAATTTTGGTGCAATAAGCTAAGCAAAATGTAATTTACTGATTAACGACGAGATACCCTGACACCATTAAGAAACTACCGACAAAATTGTCTTTTAAAAAAAAAGACGTGTGGCAGTCGGGGACTGCCGCGGTAAAGCTATTGTATAGCATTTTTTATC